TTTTAGCGCATGAGCCAGATGATGTGCTTCTTTGTCGCTGATTTGATTCTCGAAGAGATCTAGTGTAGTGAGTGTCTGTGCGGAAAAAGTAGAGCTGTGTATATGCTAGCGATGAGCAGACAATGGAGATTACTGTGTTATGTTTTAATGCATCAGCGATATATTGTGTTCCAAGAGCTCCGATTTGATTGGATCTGAGATTTAATGTGATAAATGTCTGTGTGAAAATTGGACGTGGACATATGAGAAAGATGGAGAGAGAATGAGGGTCACCGTGCTATTTCGTAACGCATCCGCGAGATGTTGTGCTGCTCTGTCATCGATTCGATTGTTTGAGAGATTTAATGTGGTGAGTGTCTGTGTGAAAAAATGACGATGAGTACATGAGAGAAATGAAGAGAGAATATGACAGGCAATGTGTATTCGATTCTTTTTTTGTCACTTTGAACGAAATGTTTTTTTTTTATTGTGGTTATTTTACGAGTTCAGTGACTATCAAACAGCGAGTTCTGTATAAAGTATTTTCTAATTGATCATATAGTACAGAAAGATGAAGAGTACGGTTGGAACGTGGTGTATTTTATGAAATTGAGATTTAACTAGCGATGAATCAAGATTGTTGCGTATTCTGATAGGAATTGTCGACATGAGAATATTTTGTATTTAAATTATTGCGTTGCGTATAAGTTCTTTCGGTACAAAAAGAATGTTACCAGTGTAGTGGTCGCAATGGGGAGGTTGCTAATCGGCGAAAGGCTTTTCAGCGAAGTTTTTTCAGCGAATGAAAACAGCGAAAAGAAAATTGAGCAAAGAAATTTTGAGCGAAAACACTATTAAGCGAAGAAGCAAATCGGCGAAAGGACGTATCAGCGAAGAAGTAAATCAGCGAAAAGCAGAGTGAGCTAATTTTTTTTCGCAATAATAAAAAAGAAAATTTAAATAGAAGAAACTTTATTCATAATCAAATAGAAAATAGATTTGAATGAGCTAATTCTTCTTCATATATTTTAGGTATAGAATTAGTTTCAGATTGTACTCTATCTTTTACTTTTTTTCTTAAGTTTCGAAGTTCGATTTGTTCTGGATTAGGTGTATGATAATGATGACGATTAGCTTTAGGAAATTAATCGTTTTTGTTTGTGTGAATGGTGGCCAAACAGCCATCACTATGACAAGCCCAATATTTTACTTTCTCCGTCGACTTTTTAAGTCGATGAATATATCCTGAGTAAATGAGCAAAGGCTTGCCTCGATTCGAAGTGGTAAAAGAGATCGATGGTAGATCGGTCATACTTAGTTTAGTTAAATAAATAAATAAAATGATGTACGTAGTAGGAACGTATGATCTATAAAAGAATGCGTGTGATAAAAGATAAGGAAACAATCGATTATTTCGTCTGTACAAGTACAACAGAGAAGGAAATAATAAATAAGGACGGTTACTGGTAAATATATTAAACACGATGAATTATTCTCATAATTCGGTAGATGGAGCTCACCACGAAAAAAAATTCGCTGAAAGTTTTTTTGCTATGTCTTATTTTTCGCTGTTTTGCTCTTTCGCTAATTTAGTTTTTCGCTATTATCTCTTTTCGCTGTCATGTTTTTTCGCTGTAAATTTTTTTCGCTAAATCGTTTTTCGCTGTTTTTTTTTCGCTGAAAAAGTCATTCGCTGAAATGCTTTTCGCTGAAACGACACCATTTCATCAACGAACATGGTTTTCATTAAAACATCGTTGAGAAATTAAGTAAGAAAACAGATTGATTGAATGAATCTTCAAGTGGACATATGTAATGATTACTGATGGAATGGACGTGATCATGTTGCGTAAAACTGATCATTGGCTGAAATCAGTTACATAGATACAAGGTTAAGACAATTACAGTTCAGATAACAGACTCAAATGTTGAAGACAATTACTATGATTTAAATATTTTTCGAATAGCTTCTAGAGTGTTTCAGTAGTTGTTGATGCACAATCTCAAGAAGGATGTTTTGGTATGATACATTTTCATAATCAGAAAACAAAGATTCTTTAACCTAGAACACTATGATTATATGACAAAAAGAACCAATATTTGTAATCATCTAGAGATATCTGAGATATTTATGTCTATTGATTTTGGGCATGTGTGGAAGTTATAACGGTTATAGTATCAATGAATTTCCATTGGCCCCATTTTCATCGGTTTCTCGTGGATGAAAGAGCGAGGGTGTTAAGACCACTTGTCTCATCAATATATTTTCCCAAAAACATAAGTATTCTTTTTCCTAAGCATTTCTGGTGTACTGAACAGTTTTAAATAGAAGTGAGACTGCATCAGTTCGATGCAATTTTTTATGATCTATCAAAATATGATAGGAAATATTGCAAAGCAACTGACATCAAGTTGAAAACTATGATATACAAGCAGAAAATAATTCTCTTATAATTTTTTTCCCTGTTAAAAACAGCAGTGAATAATTTTCCGTTATGTATCACTTCAAATATAAACAATAGATATAACAAGCACCTAGAAATCTGAAATCGAATATGTTGATAGAAAATTTACCTTAAGAATGGCTCTATGGAACGAAAAAAAAACAAAATATAGATAACTAATCGATATTGATTGTAAGAGTAGTTTAAATTTATTTAGAAACAAAAACTTCTGAAACTGTTTATAAGTCAAACGTGCTTTATCAGTATGTATTCTGCATATCAAACAAGTTTGATTGATAAAGAGTGGCGAACGTTTCTGAAAAGGTTGACATAGATGTATTAACCAATCCGGTCAACAATTTTAATTCTTCTACATTAATAAATACAACAACAACAGAATCTTATTCTGGCATCAGTTCTCCAGTGAAACGACATGCTCTTCATTCAGTTTCATTATCTGGTGCCAAACCATCAGATAATAAACATGTGATTGAGCTGCCTTTCTTTCAGGTATCTACCTCGAGAAGCCATAGTTGTGTATATGATGAATACTATATCCGCATAAAGTTTCCATGATGTTCCATTGTCGAACTCATCCGGTGTAAAGCATTACTCACTCTTAACATTATGGTTTAAGAAGGAAGTACTTGCTGCTGTAAACATGCTGGCAAAAAATCGATTGCTTACTGAAGCTGTTGCCTCAGTCAAGAACATTCAATCATATGCTAACGCAATCAGATGAGATGGACTGCTATATTCATCCAATGATCGAAAGTTAGCATTCGAATGATTTGAGTCAATGTTAGATGAGGCTAATTGGCAATCGTCAATCGATTTTGTTTAGGATTAAGCAATTCAGTGTTTGACTATTCTCAATGTCAGATATGAAAGTTGTTAGTCGTGTGCTTGAGAGCGCTCGTGTATCTCTTATGGATCACGTCATTCCTAAGCATTTGAGTTCCGAGCATATACCCAGACGAGATGTAATTGCTAAACATACTTCCACAAATCCTGGAGATAATACGGCAATACCTTATACTTGATGGCAACTATATATATATATGTCCAAATGTCAGCAAACAACATTGTCCAAAGATGAATATTCTCTATTTACAAAGGTCGACCATTGGGCCATATCTAGCTGATTTCCAAAATAACGATGTCCCGATGACAAAACATATCATTTTGAAAAATCGAAAGAGTGTTACCGATTGATGTGAACCATATGATGTGCTTGTTGTAAATCGAGGCTTTCGTGATTATTTGCCACCTTTAAGTCGTTTAAGATAGGAAACGTACATGCCTGCCTTGTTGACAGAAGTTGATAAAAAAACATGCCATTTATTTTTATCATGTCATGCCTAATTTTATGTTACCAATTGCAGGCGATTTATTTGCAATTGTTTGCACGTTGATCAACGTATACAAACCTCTCTTAGTTCGATATGTATTACACGACAACAAGCTAGCTAATATCATGCTAAGTCTCATGAATGAAAGCAACAAATTCAAAGAATATATTGATAAATAGAACAACAAAAAAGAGACGAATCGATTCTGTTCATAACTTTCCTATTTTCAATCTCAAGTAGCTGAATGACTTCAATTTTAGGAAGGTTTCAAGTAAAACAAGTCAAAAAATATAAGATAGAACATTGGTCCAAGGATTGATCGTTTATTGTTCAGGTTGATAAACAGTGAACAGATATCCTAAGAGCTAAGATATAATCCAGACACTGAATAACTACTAGGTACAATCTCTGTATTCAATACAGTAAAGTACACGCAGAAATAGAGGGATGGTATCGCACATGCCGTCCAGGTGGTCTACTCATTGTCTAATTTTTCGAACTTTTCATTATAAATATGTTATATCATCGAACTCACTTTTTTCTCAATGAACGAAATTCTGTCATGATGTATTTTTCTTGCGTTTACTTTATTTGTTGTTCATATTTGAAGTGAAAAACAATTCAAAACGATTCACTGGTGTTTACACCAAGGAAAAAAGAAAAAAAAACTATTTTCTGCTCGTATATCACAGTTTTCAACTGAATGTCAGTTGTTTTGAAAAATGTTGATATCATATTTTGATAGACCATAAAAAGTTCTATCAAACTGACACAGTTTCACTTCTATTCAAAACTGTTCAGTACACCAGAAATATCGGGAAATGGGAGCACCTATGTTATAGATAAAGCAATTAAATTTTCGCATAAAACCCTACAAGGGGCGAAAATCGCGTTGCCATTTTGAAGAGAACGACCTGCTAGATTTGTGGGCGATATCAAACTTGTTATTCTAATATATTTATTTTTGTGAAAGTATGCTGATGAGAAAAGTGGTCTTAACGCCGCCCGNTGATTAGAGGCCTGCAGGGTGCAAGATTTTTGTAACCTGTAACCTGCCCTGTAAAAATTTTATAACCTGATCCTGCCCTGCCCTGTGAACTTTTTTGCATGCCCTGCCCTGAGACTTTTTTTAGTAACCTGTAACCTGCCCTGCCCTGCCCTGCCCTGGTAATGTTCAATAATGCAAAAAGATTGACAGTTTCACATTAATTTTCTAAATTTTATTTCATTGTATATATTTTAAATATAAAGCAAAATAAAAACAATCCAAAATTTCTCGAAAGTTTCTAATCATCAAAAGATCATCAACAACATCGGGTTTCAGTGACTGTCTTCTTTTTTCCAAAATTCGACCCGAAGAACTAAAAATACGTTCCGATGTTGCTGAGCTTGCAGGAACTCCAAATAAAGACTTCGCCAATTGAGAAAGTTGTGGAAATATTAAAGAATGTTTGTTCCACCATCCTAATAAAGTTTCATCTTTTGAAAAAGAAAGCTTTGTCTTGATATAACGATCGATTTCATCAGAATCATCATCACTATCTTGATCTTGCTCTACATCTCCTGCAAATTCTTGCATTACATCATTTTGTACGATAAAATAATTTTTCTTCTTTTTTCTTGAATTATTGAGGGCATCATTCATTTTTGTAGCTGATGATGAATCTTCTTCTTGTATACCAAGTGTTCGAAGTATTTTTCGAGTATCAGCATAGATTTCTTTTCGCAAGCTGTTGCTCAACGTCTATAAAAGATTTCGAAAAAGAGTAATATAATACTAAAAAATAGCTTACCAAAAGCTTTTTAGTGACCGGGTATAGAAATGTAGCTATATAATGTAATGGTGTTAAATAAATTTTCTCATCCAGCATTTTTGAAACAGCATTTTTAAATTGAATTAATAATATTGGTTCATCATCTTTTGGTTCACATGAAGCTTTTAACTTCGTAAACCAAGGAACAACTAAATGGAGAGTAGGTGTTGTATCAGCAGATAATTGTTCACTAGCTACTTTGAATAACGATAAGAATTTAACAAAGCTGACTACTACTTTACGATCGATATCGTCTAAATAGTTAACTTCATTTCTGTTAAGTAGAGCATCTTCACATTTTTCATAATTCAATGAGATGGATTCTAACATATCATGAATAGAATTCCAACGCGTGTCAACATTTAACTTCAAACTTGTAGTCAAATATTGATTCATTTCACATCTTTTAAAATGTGTACATAAATTTTGACTAAATTTAATAAACTTTTCCATATTCAGACACATATCAACACCATTGTGTAAAGCCAAATTAAGACAGTGACAAATACATCGAAGATGTACCTCTCCTTCTAAGAAAAAAAAATGAAAAAAGAAAAGTAGTAAATATAAGGAACTTACGTAAACCACATACTAAATTGGATCCATTATCACTAATGTATACGACATGAAAATGATTTGGATCAATATCATAACTAGATAATATTGCAAAAATTTTTTTTCTGGTATTTTCACCAGTTTTTGATTGATTAAATAATGAAGTACGTAACATGTAGGTGACCAATTGTTCATTTTTCGAATAATGAATATTAACAGTTAAATAGTTTTCGCTAGTTCCCGAATTTTTCCAATAATCAGTTGATACACCTATAAGTTTAACACTTTGTAAATCATTCTTCAGCATATTCTTCAAATTTTCACGATATTCTTCAGCTATTTGAGAAACAGTGCGAGAAACATTGGTTGGATCAGGTAATAATAAGTTTACTGAAGGTACACCAAGTTTAGCTTGACCATGTTGATAACCAAGATTAATCAGACTTTGGCATACTGTAGAGAATCCGACACCTTTAACAATACTAAATGGTCTGAGATCAAATGAACAAAATTTTGCACAGGCAACTGTAATTAATCTTTTATCTTCTGCTGATACATTCACTTGAGCTGCTTTGGATACAAAATCATCAAGAGTTTTGTTGTTATTTGGTTTACTGAACTTATTAAGACAATTTTTCACATGATTGCTAATAGTAGAAGTTCCATTTACCATCGAATATGATAATATTTCATGACATAGTTTACATTTAACGAACGGTTGATATTCATTTTTAAAATTTTTAATACGCCATAAACATTCCCAAAATGCACCGTGAGATGATGATGGTGGTTCTTCTGTAGTAATTAATTCACCTTTTTGAAGCTTTCCATCACCTGTTTTTTGTTTCGTTCGATGTCTTTCTTTGCATCAGGCATTGATAATGTTTCAAAAAACAGTAAAATCAAATTGATATTGATAATGATAATGATAATTTAGAAATAAGTGATGGTAATTACAACAAAAAGAATAATACACAGGTTAACTCGAAAAAACAAAATGTACATCTGAATAGATATATATGTAGAGAATATACTAACGACATATTTTCTTTGTATACCATTACAACAAATCTAATTCAGTTATTAGTTTACGCACAACACATAATGTCGTTTCGATATATTTCGAGTATTCTTCTTTACGAAATATTTTTAAAAATGTCGACAATGATTGATACTAAAAATTAATAGCAGGTTAACAGATTAAGACACTAATAACCTGTAACCTGCCCTGTAAGAAATTTCGTAACCTGGCCCTGCCTTGTCCTGTTGTTTTGCCAACCTACCCTGACAGGGCAGAGCAGGGCAGGGCAGGTCAGGTTGGAAGCACCCTGCAGGGCTCTACCTATGAAGACGATTTCAAATTATTAAATCAAAATTCTGTTTGTTAAAAAGAGTCCAATCGAAATACTACTCTACTTGTCATCCGTGAAGTGCTATTATCTTCCAATGATTTAGAAATGTTATTTAGGATGTATATACTTGACAATCAGCCATGATGGTAAACGTCAACGTCAATATGTTTTCCATTGGTTCTTACTTACTGGAGTTCTATAGTATCAAAGACTTACGCAGCGAAAATATCGATCCAGAAAGATTATATTTATCATCTTGCTTTTCTAAAAGCTGTTATAATCGGTTTTTGAGCGTTAAACATTTTCCTAGATGTGCAGTTTATTATCACCAATGTGTGTGGCATCTACTAAAAATCCTAGTTATAAATGTGCTTTTTAACAATGAACTTAGCTTCATTGAGAGTGTCGAAGCTAAGAGTTTCAGAATAGATTCATAGCTTTGTGGGATCTTTTCAATAACTTGGTAAAGTTATTGAAAAGATGGAAAGATCTATTTTACTAAAAAAAATACTGTTGATTGCTAAACAGAAATTCGTCCCAACAAAAAAATATTTCAGATATTCTAAATTAATTTCTAGAAAAATTCGATTTCTAGGTAACTATGATAATGAGCTTCTGAATTATAGATATCAATGAAGGTATCAATGATAACAATCAGAATTTATAATCCCATGCATCAGTCTAACCGTCTTGTTTAACAAGATGAATAACTCAACTAGTCGAATTTTTATTGGAAAAAATGACTTCAAACTAAAAGTTACTTTTGAAATTTTCGAAAAAGTTTAATGCGGCATTATTTGATGCAAAAAAAGAGATGCAATAATAGTAGTATGGACCATTCCAGTTACTATTGAAACATACTCAAAACAGACTTTTATGTGACTATAAAACAATTAATTGATATAAGGAAATTGTCATTCAACTTACATTAACAAGATCAGGTGGAACATGGATCAAATTCTTGTCTTTAATCTCATTGATCAAATATCGTAGATAAAAAGTCCTGCCTATGCCAGGTGGACCATGAAGAAAATTAATACCGGTTGAATCTTTTTCTTGAAGTACTTCAAGAAGTTCTGCATGAATGTCCGGAAAATCATCTCCATAATGAAGTTTAACATCAGTTATATGAGATTTTTTCAATCGTATGAACGATATATAGAATCCACGTTGAGCATCATGAGAAACCATTTTTAGAGTAGCTTCAGTTACAGAAAACAGTTTAAATTTCGTCAATTGTTACAATAAAATTCGTGCACGTTCTGCTGTTTGTGGTACGTGAAATACCTGAATAAAAACAACACAACATGTTTTTCGATGATAGACTTTTTCAAATGTGACTAATAGTAGTTTAGATTTTGTTTTTAAAAATAACGATCTTTTTTATCGTCCATTTGTTCAGTAACGTAAAAGAATACGAAACAATACTAGATTTTAATACTTTATTCAAAACATTCATAAAATGTATATCATTCTAAGATTTAAAATTAAACACTATCTATACGGTAATTTGAGAACTTGTTCATATTTACATAAACACAATCAAAAAAGTTCTAATTTCAAAACCACTTGGTCAGGAGAGTACATTTAGAAATTTTAAATGTAATTTTCATTCTAACTAAACTTGATGTTTTTCAAGTTCATATGTGGATGCGAATAAAGAATAAATATTTACATCCATGTAGAGAAAAGGCAGAAAACCAATCAAAAATAATACATCACAAATGAAGTCTCACCTGAAGTGTAGAAAAAACAGTTGAAGGTCTTATTTTCATGATCTGGTTCGAGATTGTTTGAATTGTCAAAATTTGTAGGACTTACGGGAACCACCATCAAATAGTACTAAAACGTAGAACTGGGAACGTAATTCGTTTAGAAAATTATCAGAAGAATTTCAATTATTATTGTTCTGATGAGTATTCTTAATAAAATGAACGGCTCTCATTGATCATCAAATAAAAAATTCACTTTTCAAAACGTAATGATAAACTCCTTAAAACTTTCTATTGTGTCTTATAAAAGAACATTTTTTTTTCAGGGACACATACGAATAAGAATTCTTTCTAGTACAAGCTAGATTATTAAGTTGAAAGTTTTTTTGTATTGTCGATTGAAAAAGGCAATTCTATTCGTTTTATTTCTTTCTATGAACAACAACGTTTCAAGAAAGAAATATTTTTAAAATTATCAATTTTTTTCATATATTTTATAAAATTAATCAAATAAGTCTGATGGAATAGACCTCTATTAAATGATTTCATTTTATTGATTTCTATCGACACAAATGCTATTATCAATGATTGAGAGGACTAGGAATAAGTTTCATCTTTTCAAATTTGAGAACAAGTTCAATATCAATTAGTTCATTTTTACCGGAGAGATAACTTCCCAAGTCAATATAAATTGTCGACATAATCGAGTTTTTATTACACGTATCATATGTCCAATCGTAGATAAATATGTCTGAATCTGCTTTGTATCCGTTGATAAGAAAATTTATAGAACTGTTTTAGTAAAAAAAAGCAAGAATACAAGTTAATAAATAATTGTAATGAACAACTCGAAAGTAACCAATCTTGTTGCATGATACATGCCTCCTTGTTTCCGTTTTGAAGACCAGGGTGGGTGTGGGTGAATGTGGGTGTGACACAAGAAGACAACCCTCGCATCCACACACCCACACCCATATACTGATGTATACTAGATATAATTTATCTTATATATTGTGGATCGTTAAGCATTTTTTTAACTGAACATGAATGGGTTTCCTATAGAAAAGGAGGCTTATTTTTTTTTGATTTTTCGATAAGTCTTGTAAGGCTATTTTTTAGTGTCCCATGCGAACTTTTGCATAAATTTGTAGCACTCAGTGGGTACTTTAAATTCCCAAGAGTCCGACTTTTATAGAGTTGATTTTGCTCTGGATCGGACTCACTCAAAATCGTGATCTTCATCAAAAATGCATTTTTGGCGAGGATCTTCTGAACGACTGGAACTAACCAGAAAGCTGAAATTTTTAGAGGAACAAGTACTAAATAAGATCTAAATATAACCGAAATTTCAGCTCTCTAGATTGATTCATACTCGAAAAGTGCAAGTGCACAAAACATTAAAAAATGGCAATTTTTTCATTTACCTTGTGGTATTGGCTAATTTCATGATGATTCATCAATTCAAGCTGAATTTTTTTTGGTGATACAAAATTATGATATGTATTAAAAGTAAAAATTTCAAGTCAAATGCTTGTCTACTTCTTGAGATATAGATGTCACAAAAAATCACAAAAAATCACAAAAAATGCACTTTTTTGGTGAGGGTGTCCTCAGAAAAATTTGAATATCTTGAGAACGGAACAATATTTTTTCGAACAGCTTGCGTCAAAATTCCTAAAACTCTTGCCTCTATAATATGTATAAAACTGAGCAGAATCTGACGAGCTCGATTTAGCACCTTCTATAGTGGTCGGTCATGGCTTACGTGGACTGGCTTATAGATAATTTTATTTTATAAATTGATAGAATTAAAAACGAACCTATGAAATGACTTCTGGAAGAAATTATTTGATCAAAATTATATTTTATCGTTATTGATCGATCTCTGAAATTAAATAGGATATATTTATCGATATAGGATAAAATGGAAAAATGGCATATTTAACATAAATCAATATGAATTAGGAAAAATCTTCGAAATTTTTTACTAAATCAATCAGTAAAACACAATGATCCTATTGACAAATTGATCATATTCGATAGTGATTTCATTCATTCAATATATTAACCATTAGATCGAACTCAACTTCACAATTAATTAACATTTTATTTATATTTATGTAAAAAAAACTCATTCTTTCTTATCAATAGAAATTCTTCCCGTAATAATTTAATTAATCTAAAAAATGTCTTAAATTCTGAGAGAAATATTTTCAAAATTTCATTAGAAATATAATAATGTTTTTTATGTCCTTATTCAATGATTTACCGTATGAAAAGTCACTTATTATATAAGATATTATTAGTTCAAAAAAAACCTGAAGAAAGATCATTGTAAAAAGTAATAAATAATGAATAAAAGATAAATACAAACTTGAAATAAGTCAAATGAATGTGTAGATCTATCATTTATAAAATAACCTTAATTGTATAGTAATTGAGTAGGGCATATATCTTTTGTTTGTATCATAGAAATAAAACGTTCATCGACAAAATTGATATTCGCGTATGAATAGTTACATTTCAAGGAGAATATTTATTTAATTCATTGACGATATTCACCTAGCACATCGGAATTAGAACGTTATCGTCTATTGTTTGATTGTATCTATGAAGTTTTGCATTTTTGATCATTTTTAAATTTGATAATTCATTTAATACTCTTCATCAAAAAAAAGATCATTGATTTGATTATTACTCAAATAGAAATAAAAATGTTTGGTTGTTTTTGAAAGTGAAATTGATATTATCATTTGCTAATTTTATCTCATCGATAAGACTTGTCCTGATAAGATTTATATATCAATAGTCAATTCGATATACAACGATATATTCAATTTAGTTTTATGAAAGCTATTTGAAATATTCAATATCAATCTTCTTTCATGTTTCTATCATATAGAATATTTCGACTTTATAAATATCACATTATTATATGTTTTTTTTTATTAGAAACTAAAATTTGATCATAGAGTGTCCCATAATAAATGATCGCATTTTGCATTGCATATTTTAATTTGAAACTACGTATGAATGAAAAAAAACTAAAATATGCAGCATGAAAAACTCTACAATTTGCACAGAGCAGTTTATTTAATACATGAAATAAATAAATCATTATGTAACTGCATAGTAGATAATAGATGTTTTATTTTATTCTAGTTTTAATATGGAAATTTTCGATGATTTTCAACGAGATAATAAGACAATAAAACATGATGTTACAACAAAAAACAAACAAGAAGAAAGAATAAAATAGTCTCTTTATGAAACATCATCCCCTATTTAATCCAATATAAATTTACTACATACTGTAAACATTGTATAACTTTGCAATTATTAAACAAAAACCATATGTAATATTAAAGTTTAATTGATAATCTATTTAAATCTTCATTAGAACACTCAATTTTTATATTCTATTTAAATTTAATGTAACGAAAAACTTTAAAGGAATTTTTATTTAATCTTTAGATTAATGTCAACTTCAAAATTCTACAATATTTACAGTATATACTAAATATATATTAGATTAAACAGGTAATGATGTTTCATAAAGAGACTATTTTATTCTTTCTTTTTGTTTGTTTTTGTTATAACATCATGTTTTATTGTCTTATTATCTCGTTGAAAATCATCGAAGATTTTCATATTAAAACTAAAACAAAATAAAACATCTAGTATCTACTATCCAATTACATAATGATTTATTTATTTCATACTGATATAAATATCAAGATTAAACAAAAAATTCTTTTAACGCATGACATAATAGAAAAAAAAGAATTTTTCGTCCATGTTGAAAAACTGATCGTACATCGTTGTGAAAAGAAAAAGTACCTTATTAAAATAAATTCTACGGCCTAGATTATCGAGCATTTAACAGAGTATCTTGTAATATATTTTGTCTTTTTCAAAATAACTGGTAAAAAAAAGTTGTTTTCGCAAAGACATTGAATTTTGTTTTTTTTTTTATTGAAAAAAGGTTTTCATCGTCGATTGCAGAACTTTTCACGCTGTATCTCATCTTTTTACTAATACGTATTTTGAAAATAAAAATATGTAATACAAAATACGGCCATTTATTCTAGGACATTCGTGATTTTGTCTTATCAATTGTAAATGATTATTCGACATTGATGGTTTTGCTTTTCTGCAGAAAAAAAATCTATATTTCAATTGATGTGAGAATATTTTGAAAAATATTTTTGTTATTTTTATGAATGAAAGAAAAAAAAAGAAAATTCTATTGAGATTAATCAGTTTAGTTTTTCTATAAATAGAGAATTATTTATCATAGATCGATTGTTTTTTCACCTAAATATAGTAACAAAGAATTGAAACAATGTCGAGAATATTCAACAAATATTTTAAAAAGAGATCATTTATTTATAGTTATTAAAAAAAAAACAGATTAAAAAGTCTTCATTTATTTATTCATATTAAGGATAAACTAATACAAGACAAAAAAAAGCTTCCGTCGGTTGAGATGTAAGTGATAGATACTCAGTAAACTCTGTCGATGTAAAGCTACACAAAAAAAGATGAAGAAACAGAACGTAGAAGAATTCTTCATGATGGAAAAGTGTACGCATTGACATCGAACTATATTTTATTCTTGGATAGATCATTTTTAGGATTTTCTTCACATTGACAACAAGTATGAGTGGAACAAGTTCAAAAAAAACTTTTACTGAATGGGATTTAATTAAATACAGTAATATGACAAGTAATATATATACATATAAATATTGATTGATTTTAAATAAAAATTTTATTTTATTTTTTTGTTTTTATTAAATAAAAGATATTCCGTTAATAACAGTAGAAAATATATATAAAGATTTTATGAAAGCAACAGGTAATACAAATCGAATGGATAAAAATGAATTTCGTCGTTTATATAAAGAAATGTATATGAGTCAACAATCGAATAATAATATTGCACCTTTTCTTACTGATCATGATTTAAATAAAATGTCAGACCATGTTTTTGAAATTTATGATTATGATGTATCAGGAAAATTAACTTTTGAAGGTAAAATGAAAATTTTATTTGATATAAATAAAAATAATATATAAATAGAATTTGCTGAAATATATTTAATGCTTAATCATTATGCTGGAACAGCTGAAGATGGAAGTTTACGTCGTGATCATTATAATTATTTATTAGATATATATGATACAGAACCTCTTGGTAGAGATGATGTTTTTTTTTCTTTTTCAATATATTTTGTATTTTATTTTAAAAGATTACATAACACGTGAACGTGCTCAACAAGTTTTTAATTATGTTAATAAATATAACAAGTAAATTATTTTGATAAAATTTATTGTTTATTTTTTTTTTATTTAAAATTAGTTTATCAAATTTAAATAAAATAAAACTTGAAGATAATTCATCGAAAACATTAAATAATAATTTTCAAGATCATTGGAATAAAATGGATATTGATGGAACTGGACGGTTAGTTTGTTTGTTTTTTTTTCTATATTTCAATATGAATATTTATCTTAATTTATGTATTTAATAGTGTATCAAAAGAAAAATTTATGGATTACATGAGCAAATCAAATGATTACAAACATTATTTTGATCAAAAAAAACTTTAAATAATAATTATTTGTTATTTAATCAAGCGAGAACTTTTTAATTCTTATCTAAAAGACAAATACATTTATTGAATTTTATTTGATTTTTAATTATAATTCTTATTTACAAAAAAAAAGCTTGTTAGCGCAGCCCCTTTGGGGCTGAAATGCGGAACTCACATATGCTCTCTAGCCTCATTCAACTAATACAAAATACGTAAACTGAAAAATCTCTCCTAGACTAAAGTTGTTTTGCAGGATAATCAATCGCAAGAGTAAGAATCTCTATAATTTCGAACAGAATGTTCTTTAAACTTTTTTCTATGGGCGCCTATTTTTTATTTGCATTGTTGCTATTCGCTCATTATTTTTTTATCTTTTTAAATTCATTTTTCTTAATTTATCATTCTTATTATTATAATCATTTAATTGATTGACAAATAAGTGTATTTTACATATCTATGATATCTACAGCAGCCCTTGTACACTATCATATATATTAATCAAGTCACAAATAATGATATTAAATATTTTTCAAAATGATAACTTGATCAATTTTCAAAAAAAAAACACGAAAAAATTTAACATCTTTTATTATTGATTGTTGAGGTCTGTAATGGGGTGGGCAGGGGAGGGGAGGGTGTGGGTGTGAATCTTCCTGAAGATAATACAGTCATAACCACAGCCACAGCCACAGCCACACCCACACACCCACATCCACTCCCACACACACCCACACCCACACACCCACACCCACTCCCACACCCACACCCTGTCCAAATTTTGAAACAAATGTTTTAGCTAATAATAATCAAAAAGCCTTCCTAAAAACTTTATATACATGATGACACAGAAATGTTGACTCAATTCGTAGAATAATTTTTCTCTAAACTGAAATATGTATTTGTAAATTTGTTTCAATAGTGAACAGATGTAGTAGAACTATCTACAAAATGAATAATGATTGACTTTACTATGTCATCAAATAAGAAAGTTATAAGTTTATAAGAAGGATGTGGGTGTGGGTGTGTGGGTGTGGGTGTGGCTGTGGCTGTGGCTGTGGGTGTATATGTAACAGTATAGAATATCAACAACCACATATACATCCACATCCACATATACACCCACACCCAACCACATATACATCCACACCCACACCCACACCCAACCACATATACATCCACATCCACACCCACACCCACACCCAACCGCATATACATCCACATCCACACCCACACCCACACCCAACCACATATACATCCACATCCACACCCACGCCCACAGCCACACCCCACACCCACAGCCACGACCACACCCACACCCTTATGACTCGTATACGATCGTTGTAATGAGTGACATTGGATCAGTCGGTTGCAGGTATTGCTTCTTTAGACAATAGATGAATTTGAAAAAATGTCAGACAAATCGTTTCCAAAAGGGTTTTAATCTAATCATTAAAAATAAAAGATTGACATAAAAATACAACATCAAATATATTTTGATTTGGGAAAATGTAACAAGAAAATAAGAGACTAGAATATATAATGAAAACGATACAGACAACGATGTATTGTTTAAACTTGTGCTATACTCATATGAAATTTGTGTCACAATTTTTTCAACAAAATCACTCATTTATCTTGATGAAATAATCTGCAAACGTCTTTGTATATTAGTTCGATATCGAGCAATACTCTTATGAAATTGTTCTTTATAAAAATTTGATGGTAATATATATATAACAAAAGTAAGCATAGATGGAATAAATGAAATAAAATATCCAATAAGAAATAACCATGAATCACTTGCTGATTTCATACATTTCGATACAAAATGTATTATTAGACGTGGTAATGCAAGAATGACTAATATAACTGGAGCAATAAATAAATTTTTATGTTCATGAAATTGTTCTCGTAAAAGTTGGTTGTGAGTTCGATGAATTTGAAAATTTGATTGTTGATGAGATTTCTTTGTTATCAGAATAATAGCTGATATTAAATTGATAAAAAATGGAGCAAAAAAGTGAAAAGTATGCATTACAGAATTAAATACTTGTAAACTAGTTGAATAAGTAATAATACACCATATTCTTATTTCACTATCATTTTCTTCATCAATTAAACGTCGATGAAAAGGATCGTAAACCGACGTACTTATGATAAAAATAATAAGAGTAACAATGATTATTTTAGCTGCTTGTTTACTTTTTTTCTTTTGAAAACTAGTACCTTTTATTATTGTAAATGCTCGT